TGTGCGTTTTGTGCTGTGCAACATCTGTACAAAACGAGCATTATCGAGACGCTGTGCGTGTGTGTATGTATATATGTTCCGAATCATTTTATCCGGGAGTTTCAACTCCAGAACCAGAGCCCTGCGTATGCGCGACACCGCAAATTCGAATTCAGCTCTCACGTATGCCTTGGTCGTACGTATGGCCCTGTGGGCGGAAAAAATTATTTCGGGAGCGAGAAGAGCTGGAAGGCTGAATGCTTCAGGAGGACGTTTTCTGATTATGCAAGGGGATAACAACTCAAACTTAGCTTCCAAATATGAAGAGGTCTCACGTATGACCAGTTCTGGCACGGAAGTTACTCGGAAATCAGAGAACTAGGAGGTTAAAATTCTGGAACAGTGCTGGTCGTCCAATGTTTCAAATTCAGCTTTCACGTACTGGTACGTGAAGTCTTTAATGGGAAATTTTGCAGTTTAGGAACGAAACAGCATATCAACTATTTTTGCACATACGAAAGTGTAAAAGAGTTATATTTTTAGTAAACAAACGTCCACAGGGCGGAACTGCACAAAACGCATGATCGCACCGGCTACCTTGGCGCGCCGCTATTTACTTTTTTTTCTTACATTACGATTATACTGGTCTTTCCGGGAAAAAAAATATGACAACACTTCCTTGGACTATGAGAAAAAGGCTTGTCATACAAATCAATGCGGCAAAACTCTTCCACATTCATTTAATAACGAAAGCAAATTGCCAGTAGAAAGCACAAATTCGTAAATCCTCTACCAATTCCTCTTCCAAGAAGCACCTTTGGAATCTTGTAAGCGACATGAATCCCTAACACGCTGAGCAAATCAGCACCAACCAATCATCAGAAAAACTTCGCTGAAAGGTCTGCTTTTTTTTGAGGAGGTAAGAAGGGAAGAGGGGGCGGGAGAGGAGCCAGAACCGAATGCAGTTTTTTCGTCTGAATTAGAGCAGCTCCGCGACATCATAATCCTCATATCTATCACTGCCACCCATATTTGAAATTAATTTCGGAGTTGGAACTGCTACAGAGGATAATGAGATGAGAAGGCGGTGTACACTTTAGGAACGGTTACAAATGTACGCACTTTTCGGCGAAAGCAAAGCAGTTGGACCAGCAAAAGCTCGATCCTAGCAACTCATACATCAGTTTTGTGGAAAGACCTTATGCACTCAAACCTGAGTAACATTTGTAGCATTGAACCCTCACTCCATGCACAGTTTATTCATATTACTAGTGTATCAGACAACTGCACTGAATTTTTACCTTTATGCACGACCTCAATAAAGACACCCACACTGAGGGAATAACATGAAAGAGTTGCTTGGAGATCACAGTAAAGGCACTATGATGCTGCACAGATCCGAGGATCCCAGGTAGAAACGAATTCTCCGTATGCCATTAACTTTTATTGAGACAAGGCAGAGAACTGTAGGAAATTCCTCTCAGGCGGGCATAACATCCATCCATGAGAGACAATTTCTCGACAGTTTGCAGTCTTGTTTTAGTTGTGAATTTTTGGCATGCCCACTATACAAAGGCCACAGCTGCAGCAAAATTCATGCGAAATGTCAGCTCGTAGACACAGCTGGCAGATGTCAGTGCCGCTATGAATAGTGCTACTTTTTCTGCACAGGTGAGTGCTTTCATTTTCGCTTATTTTTTTAATAATACCCAGATTACCAAGGGCGCTCGGAGAACTGGTTTGGGTGTCTGATATTAGTGATGTTGCTGGAATACATCACGTATCCGATGCAACCATTCCAGGTTTTGCAGTCTTGATTCGCATGACTCCTGATAGCATTATCACCCGTTCAACGTATGCTGCATCACTTCGTAGGCCGCCGAAGCGGTTGTTTGTTTGTCATAAACATATTTACATATGTCTTCTGATTGTCAGCAAGGTGCGAAACATGCCCTGCCCATCGGATTTTATTTTCCTGTGTGGTCGCAACTATAGCCTACATGCTGTCCTTCTGGAAAAGTTTAACTGCCCACAAAGTTATACGAAAAGACATTGCAAGAGTTGTCTTCAGCCGCTTTGATCGACACAACCAGCAATCGCTCTCTCGTCTTCGTCAGTGACCACATTTCTGTGCCTCACACCCTTCAACAGAGTGATACTGAAGGAACATGGTCCTACTGGATTGACACTTTCAAGACCCAATCTGTACTGTGAAATTTGTCTCATCGGCAGCTCCTCTATGCGCAGTCCCGGACTGGCAATTATGAAGCTCATTTACTTTCTGGTCAGCTGTTAACTTCTTCCAATTCAGCATCGTTTGCATCACTTTATCTCGCGAGGCGTTAAAAATTTTCAAGCCAGCTTCTTTATTTCACATGCTTGGCTATACTGCAGCGTCTTGTTTATTTTGTTAGCGCTGCCCGTAATGAAAATTATGCCATTCTAGAAGTTCAAATGGTTTAGTTCTTCACCATTAAGTTTAAACCATCTTTTCGAGCCTGCTTGCGCATCCCGGTGCATGTCTTGAAAAGTCTGTGTGATAAAAATTTTTTTTCTGTCGAACAATCCGTATTTTCTTATAGTTTTTATATAACTCCCGTCAAAACCTTCCTTCACCACGGCTCGTATCCCAACACTCGGCTTGATGCTACACAGAATGTTTTCGTGCAACTGCTGGTAGAAGTGCAGTTTTGCTGTACTCGAAACACTTCGAATTCCCGTCTTTCTTCTCAGCTTCCTTAATTTTAAGGTTTTTGCTATCCCTAGCTGCTGGTGTTCTTTTTTAGCCACGCTGGAATCAAATAAATGCAATACCCTAATAAATTTTGTTTCTCCAGCCTAAATTTTCTACATCTGATCGACTGAATTTCTTGCAAGAAATGGTTTGTGAACTACTCTCTCAGCAATAATCTACAGCTGTTGGCGCATATCTGAGAGACTCAGTCTGTTTGGTTGTGCTGCTGTCTGGATGCCAGAGATACTAAGCGCATACTGACGTTTAGCTGCCGAACTACACAGTAAACCAAGGTGAATGTACAGAGTTCTATCCGTGTTTTTATTTTTAAGTTTTGATTTTTTCATGCATAATGCACTATCGCGTTTCACAGTGCGCACTACGCTGTTTTTCGTGCACAGAGCGGCAATATTCTCATCATCCACTGATCTGGTATTAGTGACCAGCCTGCATACCTCTTCCTTTCTCCTCACCTCCCACCAAACTTGGCAGTGTATATTTCACCGCCACTCCGGTACCACGGTAAGGTTTCTGTGTCGGGATTCCTGAACGTTTGAATGAACATACGAAGAATAACATGACTGCCATTACAATCAGCAGAGAAATCACATGCTAATTATATTACTGGGATGCCCCCAAATGTCTGGCGAAACTAAGCCTAGTTTTTTTAGTCTTGAACTGCAATCTTCCAGATAGTACCTGTCGCCTGTTCAATGTATGTACGTTAGTTTTTCAGAGATCGCTCGAACAGTCGTTCGCTTTTACGCAGGCACAACTCACTTGTATGCGATACGTGCTGCCATCAAGGCAAGCAACATGGCTTATAAACCGGGTCCTACTTCCCCGCGCGGTTGACTCCGGTAGACGAAACTGACAGCTGTTTGTGAAGACCACTTAGATATAGCAGATGGGTATTCTGAACCCGAAGGAAGCAGAGCACATGCTGCATTATGCTGCATACCAAACAGAAACTAGAAGCGGGCACGAAGAGAGGAAAAAGCGGGTCAAAAAAACCAAAGGAAGGGGGAGGGGGCGGAAGTGGAAGGGAGAAGGGAAGGGCGGGGGGAAGGGGGATAAGAAAAGAAATAAGAAACATCACAGAAAAAACGAACGGAAGGGGAGCACGAGGAGAAATGGTAATTCAGAACTAACACTGTAATGAAGGTGGGCATCAGTTCGGTGGCGATCATGCTCAACATCATGCAGTCGTATCAGGTCTTCCATTCGTATTGGCATCAAGCCACTGATTCCTGAGCCAACACTGAAACAATGTACAACTGAGCAGAAGCGGCAGCAGGTCGCAAGCCTCTGGTCGGCGAACTAGGAGTAGACGGAGCGACCTGTAATCCACCACATGGGGAATGGAGCGATATTCTGGCACTGAAGGCTGTCAATGATCGGAAATGAGCAGGAAGAGAAAGAGGGACCCTGCCCGAAGTTACAAACTTAATTAAGCAATTATGCTCGGTCATGTTCATATTGAAGTAACAAATGAAAAGTCGGGGATAACTTGACATTCGATCTGAATATTTAGGTGCTGACTTCCAGCCGAATGTCAGACTATTCGTTTATGAAAATAAAAGAGTCAGCAACATTACTGGCATGTTAAATTAGATGCATTCGAACCTGCGCCATGAGTTTAGTCAGTGCTAAAACGTTGAATAAGCTAAAACGCAGCAGCAAAAGTCAGTTCATTCAATTTTTTCATTACCCCGTCTATTATCAGCAGTGCAGCCAACAGAAGGCAACATTACCAGTGACAGAAGAAATCAATTCTTTGTGGGTATTTTACAAAATTTGAAGCCGCTGCGCTATTTACAAAGGAAGAGACAAAAAAAGCTGTCAGCGGCAATTCAGTGAGTAAAAAGTCGGGAGTGATGATTCTCAGATGACGTTTCAGGATTCTTTTCAAAAGTGAAATTTTAATAGCGCGGCAATCAGTCGTTGCCACAGGGTTCATCTCTAGGGGTTAAAAATCATCGGCTGCGAATAGTTTTACCACTTATGCTTCGTGACTGGAAGATTTCCCAGAAATGAACGGTTCTCGAGAACAACGTGACGCAAAAACCTGACACATTTTGTAGAGAAAAATGCAGGCATGTCCGATAGACGCAAAAAATCTATGCCAAGAAGTGAGCATACGTGCACACTGCTCTACGGTATTTCTGCTCTACGGTCCTTAAAGTGCCGACTGTCAGGAAAAGCCAAACCCATCTCTTTAATAATAGCCGTGTTGAAGTCAGTGTCGTACGGATGCGGAAGGTGGGTAGTGGAGGAAAAGAACGTGTGGATGCTTGCTGTCAGCGAATTCGACTGGTGAGGCCCGGTAGTGAAAGAACTTGGAATGTGTGTGGCAGGACGTAACGGATGGCGAAACGAAAGATTGGGATAAAAAGGTCTGCGCTGATGCGGATGAATGCCGAACAATTTCGTGTGCATCCAACGTCTCATGAAATCCTGAAGTAACCGGCGCCTACTTCGTGACGCTTCTGTGACTGCATTTTGCGCAGCTAAGCCTCGGTGCTTCTGTTGAGCAGGGGAGAGAATGAAAAAAACGAAAAACGAAAAACCTGTGCTGCACATCGCCGTGTTCAACCTTCACGAAGCCGTTACTGCTACCCTCGGAGGAGCTCGGACTCGGCGCACCAAATGTGTCTCCTGCGCCAATGTGCGCCATGGTTGAAATCGGCTCCGACGGTGGTGGCGCTGTTGCGCTCGGCATATTGATCACCACCGGCTCCAGGTCCAGCGCTGTCTCCTGCAATTTTCAACTCTTCATTACGACCAAACTCTACTCACTCTATGTTCCTTGCAGGTGAGGTTGGCCCATTCGCATTACCAGTCATGCGTACCGAGTTCATGATGAAGCTTTTACCGAGTCTGTGTTATCCGATATTTTTGCAAAAACCCGCCAGGCAGGGAGGAATTATTACATTACTTTGTCCCAAGTGCCCATTGTGTTTTGTTTCGTAAAACCTTTCAAAACTGAAAAAGTGGAAAATCGTCGGTGTCTCAGTGCAGATTTCCACTTGAACATCGTTGATTTTTTAGTACTGCCAGGAACACCTGGCATCATCGAAGTGCCACTTAAGACTTGCAAATGGAAACGGATCTCGGCTCAGATAAGTCTACCTGTATATGAACCGGCTGCAGCAATGGTGGCGGCGATCGACGTCGCTGCTGGGGCCCCTCAGCTTGATCAGATCGATTCTCCATGATCGGAAATTCGGATTACGAATACACTCCTGGAAATGCTGCTCGATAAAATCCGCCCGTGCTGTTAAAGCCGCCAAGTTACTAATGCACATCACATCGGCATATGCGAGGACGTCCCGCAAGCAACCACCGAAACTTGGCCCGACCGCGCAATCCGCACTTACTTTTGGGTTCGTGTCGCGAGCAACTGTGTGTTTGTGTTTGGCTGGTATCCTAGGTGCCCTTCAGCATCAAGTTTCAATGCCGAGCGTTTAGAACCGACGTAGCCTCGGTCGGGTAAGCCACGCCTCTGCCCCCGGTCTCTACCCCAAAGCAAAGTGTCAGCTCCTTCCTAGCCAGGAATCCCGTCCCATCTTCTCCGCCACGGCCTCCAGGAACTAAATCACCTCCCTCCCCGCCCTCCAACCATCCCCTCTCTTCCGCCTGCACACCTCCATCTCCCCCACCCGCGCTCACTGCAGCTTGTCTCTCAACCCGATCGAGCCGAGTTTTAGCATTTGCCCACATCATTACGTCGTCGTTGCTGCGATCAGCTGTTTCTGGCTCTCTGCCCGGAGCATCCTCCTCCCCCTTTGCTCGGACACAACTGAGCCAGCAAATTTGCACAGGATTTCGGTATCTTGCAAGACGCGACAGGGGACGGGGCACGAAGCAAGCAGACTGAGCTGGGGCGCAGCTGAGGTAACGAAAAGGCCTGGGCGGAAGGAGCAGAAGGAGCCTGGATAGGATGGGCACCGTGGAGGTGGCTTGAGGCTTGGTCTGGATGTGGACGTTACCACTTTATGAGGACTTTGCGGCAAACTATTAGCTAACCGCTCGCGTAATGATAACGAAGCGGCGCAGTGCTGGCACAGGATGCAGCTTGATCTCGGTGACAGACTCTGCCGCCGTCCGTTAACGCCGAGGGAACCCGGCTGAAATTGGATAACCGCGTTGGCACTGCTACCCCTCCTCATATGGCACATATGTAATATAGCACATGCGTGTACGCAACCGAACATTGCATGCTGCATGCACTCTGATATCGATGGGCCGAAGTCGATCTGCGTAGCACCCTGCAACATGCAGCACCACCGGCATCGCCGAGTATCGCGGCACAGCTAGGTCGACGTACGGAGACACGAGGCGCGCCTCAGGCCATACGGCGAATGCGTTTTGCAGAAGACGCTGGCGCGGACGGGCGAGCATCACGCACCCATGCCAACTGCTAAATTCTTAGTACAAACAGTTTCTCTACAGGACCGAATTATGCAAAAATGCGTGATCACCCCGACAAGCTCGGTGCGCCACCACCTAGGTTTTTATGCGTTTTTACTTACATACAAATGCAAAAAAGCATATTGCGACGACCCCGGTGTGTGTGTGTGTGTGTGTGTGTGTGTCCGGGTATTTCAACTCGGCACCTGTGCAAGCTCTGGCGCCAAAATTTTGCCAGTGGGCTCCCCAGTCAAGTGCTACCCCAGGACCGCGGGACCAACCCTCACGCACGTCCAGACCTCGCGTACGAGCGCGAGAAAGTTTTAGCGGGAAAATCGCTAATTCGAAAATCAGAAAGACTGGGGAGCTGAAATTCTACAGTTATGTTCCCCGTTCGCATAGAGTTCAAAGATTTCAAGTTTAGCTCCCAGGTATGCGTTGTTCTCACGCACTGCCCCCTGAAAATTTTTAGTGGGAGAATGGCTGGCTCGGGAACCAGAAAAGTTGAAATGCTGAAATTTTAAGGGGATGTTTCCAGTCCATGTACAATTTAAATGTTTTAAATTCAGCTCCCAAATATGCGTGGTTCTCAAGTACGGCCATGTGAAATTTTTTGGCAAGAAAATTGCTAACTCGGAAACCAGAAAAGACTAAATCTGAAACTTTGAGGGGATGTTCCCTGACCAAGTACTATGTAGCTGCACAATTAATTTTCTGAACTTCGAGGCTCCAAGCGATCTTACAACAGCGCGAAATGCTGCAAAAACGCATGATCGCATGGGCCTGCTCGATGCGCATCGCCAATGATTCGCTCTCCTTCACGCAAGATTTACAGTAATCATGCATGCTGGAAGCTAAAATTTTATGCACTCGAACACTGCCAACATGAAATCACATGTTCAACTGTAAAATAACAGTTATTCATATTGTTAACAGCAGTCTGCTTCAGGCTACCTGGGTTTCTTAATCGGTAAGGTGCCTAGGCATGGTCTAATAGCAGAAACATTCATGGCGGGATTGTGATACTCAGCACACACCAGTCACTCTTCGAAACGGCTGAAATCTTGCCAAAATGCTTTTTTTTTTCGGCAAAACCGCTGAATTGACAATCTGCTGCAAAGATGAAGCGAATATCAGGACCGCCAACAGGCTGCCCGTCAGACGATACACTACTTAAGAGATTCAAAAAAATTGCTAGGTGGAGGACCAGCTGACTGACTGGGCCACCAGGAACATATAAGAATCTATCCGATATAATTACATTTCAGTCACCAAGGATAAATTTCATTACAACTCATGCGAGTGAATGTAAGACCGTGAAGCCGGTGTGTCGAACCACCATAGACAAACAATCCGTGTTTTGGCTTTCATCTCAATAAATGCACAAAATTCCAAGTTAGCTTCTCAGCCTTACATTCCCTCGCATGGGCTGTAACAAAACTTTTATAGCTGTACAGCATGACGTGTCCGAACCCCCTCTTCCATTTTTTTTTTTCGAAATATTTTTATTATTCTGGTTTTGTTCTGCAGTGGCTGTCGAAGGGTGCCAACACAACAGCGAGTTGAGCGATGAACATTCCAGTGATGAAAAATAGTTCGTCATATCAGACGGGGCATTGCTAGCGCTGACTGTAATCTAGCGCATGATTTTGAATTACAGCACAATGAACAAAATTCTAGTTCGAGGCAGCAACGAAAGCATTGAGGGATACCAGATCCGACGCTGCCTAAAATATGTCTCACCCGGAAGTAAACTGTGAGCGGTGGTTTGGATCAAGTCATCAAGAGAGAGGAAAGTTACAAAGATGGATAAATGCGGAATATAACTGATGGAACGGAAAAAGTAAATAAAACTGGATTCGGTCTACAATATAGGTGACCGCTGGCCATGTTTCTGCTCTGTACTTTGCCACAAAAGCCAAAAATCTTTGCATCAAAAATTCTGTTTTGTAGAAACCGAGGATGCAATGCACCAGCCTTATTGGTGACAGCATACATTTTTTGCACAGTTTTCTCTACAGATTTTTATTACTAAGTGGCAGTGTTTTTCAGGCAGGTACTTCTAACTAAACAAATTGAGTATGGCAGTTACCTTGCCCAGTTGTCGCAAGGATTCCCAATAAATAGGGCTTTGGGCCGTGCTCAGAAAATTTTGGCATTTTAGCCACTCTGGTTGGGAGTTACGTCAAACTTCATGTATCCGGACGTGAAAATAAGATGAACATGAAAATTGTTTTCCCGTATACCTGCCCAAACACGATCGTCGGCCATGTTCAAAAAATTTCAGCCCTCTAGCTGCTTTAATTGTAAAGTTACAAAATTTTCTACGTCAAATTCATGTGCCAGTGCATGAGATGCAGGGGCTGCGGATGCTCTTTTTACTCTCACGAGTACATCAGTGTACTACAAATAGTATCGTAAAATTACAATTCTCTACAGCTTTCTACTCATCCTACTTCTCATGTTGAATGGTGCCGACATAAATTTTGTTCTGCACGCATGTGGAACGTAGAAGCACGTGAAGGCTAAATTTAAAAGCTTTGGATCACACTTGGGCACGTAATATCCTTATACACAGCCTTCTGGCCTGTCTGGTTCCCGAAGTCTATTTCCAGATAAAAAATTTCACGCTTTCATACATAAGAACCAGGGGGGTATAAACGTTTATTTTATGCCTAGGGTCCCGTAAATAAACGTAGACTAAATTGCCAAAGTATCAGCTTGATAGCTTTCGCACATCTCGAGATCAAAAACCTCGCCTGATTCGCGAAATCCTTCCCCGCCAAAGAAATTTGCATATTTTTTTCGTGGGTCCATACGCGGGTCTAGGCCCATATGGAGGAAGATCTTAAAAAGGGGGGGGGGGGGGACACATGGGGTAGGAACATATACCCAAAATTACAGCTTCTTAACTTTTCTGGTTGCTGAGATAAAAGTAG